ACTTGACTGCTAACCAGAAGGCTGGTGGTTCAAACCCACCAGCCACTCCTCAGAAGGAAGATGGGGCAATCTACTTCTGTAGTGATACTGCCTTGGAAGCCCAAGGAGGGGTCTCTATGAGTCAGTTCCAACTTGACGGCATATAACAACAGCAACAACAGCACTGGCTAACAATGTTGTCATCGCGGAAGATACAAATGAGCTGTGTATACATTTACTGACTGAACATTTCAGAGATCTTCCTAAAATCTTCCCTTATAAAATGGCGACAACTTACTTTGGAATTACATGTTTTTAAATGGTACTTTCTTTTTAAAAAATAAACGTTGTATAAACTAAAACACCATGTAAATTGAAATCCTAGAGAGATTCAATGTCTAAATATTTCTTTATTTTTGTCTTAAAGGTTAACGGCTTTTGCTTTAAGAGTACTTGGGCAAGTAAATAAATATGTAGAGCAAAACCAAAACTCAATTTGTAATTCTTTATTGTGGTTGATTGAGAATTGTCAATCAGGAACTGGATCTTTCAAAGAAAATTCCCAGTATCGACCAGTAAAATTACAGGTAAGGAAACCAAATGTACAGGTTAACAATAGTTCTATTTATAGGTTTGAGTTTAATTCTCCCTATTTTGGGAAGAAGAAGAGGGGAGAAAATATATATGTAGTTCTCCAAGAAACACCTCTGGTATGCAAGCAAAGAATTTGAATGGGATTTCTATACTGCTCTCCAATCCTAATAGGTCAGGTAAAGTGATACCTTAGACATCTCTTTTAACAGTGATTTGTGGTTCACAGGGGTAAGTACTAGAGATCTCAAAATAAATAAAATGTGGTAATTTGTCCTCCTACTCTTGGTACAGAATCCTGTTGTATAGAGCCTTCTTTTAAGTCAAAGCTACACAGTGTGGTTATGAAAGATGAGACCCAATGTTAGTAAAAGAGATAGAGGTTAATTTATTTTAAAAGGGCAGCAAAGTGCTACTTGAGATTAAAATCTATTTACAAGCTTGAATTACAAAGTAATTATAGTATCTATCCATGTCCTTCTACTCTTTAGAATGTTTCTTTAGGATTCAATGGAATCTTTTATTTATTTATTTATTTTGCCTGCCCCAATCAAATCCCTTTCATATCAGGCATGGGTGACCTCCATTGCGAACAGTGGGTCCTATGATGGTCTTCTGTTGCAACAATAATAGAGGAATCCCACAAGAAATGGGGCCACTGAGATTATCTAGGTGCTATTTTAAGAATAAAATAACACTTTTCTTAAGACACTCATACATCCATCTCTATCAATCCATCCATCTACTTATAATTCATTCAAGAACCATTCACTGAGCTCCTAATACATGTAAGGACCTATTCTGGACGTGGTGGACAGGGAAAGAATGGACTAGACAGTATTCCTACCATAAGGGAGTTTGCACACTGGTAAGGAAGGTGAGGCATAAATGTTAGTATCACTGCTATTGTTGTTGTTGTTGTTTGCCATCAAGTCAGACCCGACTCATAGCGACCCCTCCTTGAGTTTCCGAGGCAGTATCACTAGGAAGTAGATTGCCCAACCTTCCTTCTGAGGAGTGGCTGATGGGTTTGAACCGCCAGCCTTCTGGTTAGCAATCAAGTGCCTTAGGCACTATGCTACCAGAGCACCTAGTATTACTGCTAGCAACTCTAATTAAAAATATATATAAACTCACTGCTGTCAAGTTGGTTTGACTCATAGCGACCCCTCCTTGGGTTTCTGAGGCGGTATCTCTACGGAAGTACATTGCCCAGTCTTCCTTCTGAGGAGTGGCTGGTGGGTTTGAACTGCCATACTTCCAATTAAGATATGTGTGTGTGTGTGTGTTCATCTATTTATTCAGTAAATATTTGTTGAATAGGTACTAAGTGGATGGTAGGGACACAATGGTGAACAAAACAGGTGTGGTCACTGCAGCCATGTTGTTGTTGTTGTGTGCCATCGAGTCGGCCCCGACTCATAACGACCCCTCCTTGGGTTTCCGAGGCAGTATCACTACAGAAGTAGATTGCCCAACCTTCCTTCCGAGGAGTGGCTAGTGGGTTTGAACCGCCAGCCTTCTGGTTAGTAGTCAAGTGCCTTAGGCACTACGCTACCAGAGCTCCTCACTGCAGCCATAGAGCTTACAAGTTAGCAGAGACGTTAGACATGGAGCAAGTAATTTCAAGTGTGTGATGTTAAGAAAAGGAAAATATGGTTGCACTGAAAGCAGGAGATCTAATCTAGATTGTGGGAGTGTGAAAAATGAGTTGGACAGGCTTCTAAGAGATAGGTAGGTGGGAGGCAGAAATGAGTGTTCCAAGCAGAGCAAATAGCATGTCTGAAATTTTGAAGTGGAGAGAGTGTGGTGCACTCATAGAACTGAGACCAAGGGAGCTAGGGGGTGAGTGGCATGAAATGAAACTAGAGGCCACTTTGTGGAAGATCTTACAAGCATTGCTTTGGAATAGCACTGCCGTAAGAGGGGAAAATATGGGTGATTAGAGACCATATAATGCTTCATAGAGGAGGCAGCATCTTAAAAAGATCTTGAAGGAGTTAGAGAAGTTGAATGTTGGTGAAGATGTATGAAGTAGGGCTGAGAGTGGGGATAAGTGAAGGCATGCGAGTAAGAAACTCTGGAGATTGTTTCTGAAACAGTAGTGCATGAAGGAGAAGAGTAGAAGATAAAGCTCAAAAGGAGATTAGAACCAGGTCGTCATTTTCCTTTATAGACACTATTTTCACTCTCCTTTTTAAACATTGCTTATTTTTAGGGTACCTTGCCTACTGAAGCCCAGCAGAACACCTTGTATCTTACAGCTTTCACTGTTATTGGAATTAGGAAGGCTTTTGATATATGCCCCCTGATGGTAAGTAAAAATTTTCTTTCTCTAACATTCATCATCTATTTCAGGGGGCACCAAAAATCAGAAGATACTTAGTTTCAAAAGCTACTTTTTCTTCTTTTCACATTATTTGAAAATAAGTTAATTCCAGAATCAAAGGATTTCATAACTATGATAGAAGTTAGAGATCAACTTATTCATTGGCAGTTGAGGAAATTGAAGCTTGTAAGTAAGGTAACTTTAATTGCCCAGTGTCACATCCTACTAAGTTGTAGAGCTGGGACTAGAATTGATTAACTTCTTACCATTTGTGATGGTAGTATGGCCTGATGTTCTTATCCTCACTCTCTTGTCTCTGCTAAGTCTTACTCAGTGTCTGTTACTATTCTAAAGGTGAGGTATTCTATCTTATGAAACCACTGAGGAGACATGTCAGCCAGTTTGCTTCACTGGGTTGTGTAGTTTCCTTTGTTTGGAAGCTAAAGGGAGAGAAGAGAGGATTTACCTAATTCAGTCAACATAGAAGATTCCAAAGTTCATGGAGATAATACTGTAAGGCCACAGTAAGGAGAAAAGGACGCACAAAAGTGAGGTTAAAGAGAAGTTTTTATTCTGAGTTTCCGGGGGAGGTTTACGGGCCCCCGAGAGGGGCCCGGGCGA